GCATGCATCTGTAACTCAATTAGTGTAATGTTTATGATCAGTAAAAGTACATTATATTATATTATTAAGCGACGACTTAAGGAAATGGTCTAAGGTTTTAGTTAACACCGATATATAATAACATCATAAAAAATGTTGGTCACTAAAAAATATTACTGTATATATTCCATGTATAACTATCATATCAGTCTATAATTAACCACCATTCCTGTATATCAGTAAGTACAAAAAACATTGAAAAGCATTACGTTGCAACAAGTGAAGTCCAACTTGATTTTAGCATACGTTTAGTCACTTATGAATTCTCATGATATTCTGATTTTTTGGATTATTTAAGCAATCTTTGGGACGTTTTCTAATTCGTAATGAAGAATAGTAAACACGAAAGATTGCAGACGATGAAACGAATATGATAGCTCAACACGATATTTTATTTTGTTGATTACTGTTTCATTACTTATAGAAAAATAATAGAATATGTTTGATGGATACTTTCAATTCGAGTTTTATACTGATTTTTGTAGTTATCATTCGTTGGGACAATAGTGTTTTACGTAATCTTAAAGAAAGTAAACAATTAATTAACTTCTAGTGTAAATTCACCGTGTTTTTCTTCCGATATTAATACAACAATGTCTAAATTAATTATATACAGTGAAGAACAATGAAACATTTTGATAATTTGTGAACCTACGCACATAATATCAGGGTGGATCTGATGCAGATGTGAAGGCGCGGATCGGCAAAGCAAGAGCAGCATATTTACAACTGAGGAACATCTGGAACTCAAAAAATCTGTCAACCAACACCAAGGTCAGGATTTTCAATACAAATGTCAAGACAGTTCTACTGTATGGGGCAGAAACCTGGAGAACTACAAAAGCCATCATCCAGAAAATACAGGTGTTTATCAACAACTGTCTACGCAAAATACTTCAGATCCATTGGCCGGACACTATTAGCAACAACGTACTGTGGGAGGGAACAAACCAGATCCCAGTGGCGGAAGAAATCAGGAAGAAGTGCTGGAAGTGGATAGGACACACATTGAGGAAAGCACCTAACTGCGTCACAAGACAAGCCCTCACATGGAATCCTGAAGGCCAAAGGAGAAGAGGAAGACCAAAGAACACATTACGCCGAGAAATGGAAATAGACATGAGAAAAATGAACAAGAATTGGAGGGAACTAGAAAAGAAGGCCCAGGACAGAGTGTGTTGGAGAATGCTGGTCAGCGGCCTATGCTCCATTGGGAGTAACAGGCGTAAGTAAGTAAGTAACGCACATAATATAAATTACTAGACGTTAGAAAGTATCAACGTTTATTTCGATTGTTACAATTGTCAACAAAATAACATAAATGTATTACTTACTTACTTACACCTGTTACCCCTCGTCGAGGAGCATAGGCCGCTCACAAGCACTCCCCATACAACTCTGTCATGGGCAATTTTTTCCAGTTCTTTCCAATTGTTATTCATCCTTTTCATGTTTGCTTCTTATTCCTGACGCATTGTGTTATTCGACCTTCCTCTTTTCCATTTCCCTTCAGGATTCCAGGTTAGTGCTTGCTTTTTGATGCAGTTTGGTGATTTCCTCAATGTATGTCCTATCTACTTCCAACGTCTTCTCTAAATGCCTTCATCAGTTGAAAGCTAGTTTATTCTCTTCTACAGGAGGCTGTTGATGATGGTATCCAGACAATGGACATTGAGTATCTTGAGTTGACAATTGTTTATAAATATTTGTACTATTTTGATGATGGTTGTAGTAGTTCTCCACGTTTCAGCTCCGTACAGTAGGACTGTCTTGACGTTCGTATTGAAAATTGTGACTTTGATATTGGTTGACAGTTATTATGAGTGCCATATGTTCTTCAGTTGTAGGAATGTGGCACTTGAAACATAAATATATAGCTTTCATCTAATGATTGGTAAATAAAATACTAATTCAATCAATAATTCTCTAAAATTCGCAGAATTAATTAAACGATTCTTGATCAGTGTGTACACTTTACATGTTAAATGTTTGATCCTTAGTGCAGCCAGATAATTTATAGATAATAGAGTGAAATAGATAATTTTTGTTGTTATGGATTGATTATGGTGATTTTATTAAAAACTAAACGAGTAATGAAAATTTTGATGATTTATTATTATTGGCAATGATTTATACATATTAAAAAGATGAATATTGAATTTACATATACACATGTTCGAATGCTTATAAATTATTTTGGATAACCTACAAATAAATAAATTATTTATTTATTATTAGCTTTATTCATTATTATATTTTTGGTACAATATAAAACTCTCAGCACAAAGGATTTCAGCGAGTTTCCGTTCCATATTTCTTGATTGATATTGACGATAAATATTGAATGATCGCCAGTTAGATAATAACATAGCATATTGCCAGCCATCACAATGTCACCGATTGTACGTTTTTGTAACTTGTACAGTGAAAGGTTGCAAAACTTTTCACAAACGCACCTGAATAGGTTATACAAATAATAGACACAATGATCTGTTAAAACAAACAAGGAAACAGATAATTTGTTGAAATATCTAGATGGTAGGAACAGGCTGCCCAGATATTCAAGCAGCCCGCCAGTACTAAGACCCATTTTCCGTAAAAGTTCATACACGATAGACAGACAGAAAGACAGACGAATGAATATAGTCAATATGAAGACTTACATACAGATGTGTATCAGTTCAAATGGTTACACCTGATGTCAATAAAATAAAAAAATTCAATAAAAAAAGATAAGAGAAAAATGAATACCATTAACCGTGGTTGAAAACTGAAAGATAATAGTGTAGCATTAGAAGAAAAGTGCAAAAAAGAATAAAAATAGACAGTGTGTTGAAAACTTGATGAATGATACAGAATGAATGCAAATGTGCTACTATGACAAGTATGCAGGAATATTATCTAATCTGGTATTCTACAACAATACGCACAGACGAATCAATTCCAGGACTTTCAGATTGTTATAGAAATAACAAATTAAAATTCCAAGGATATTTTCCCAGGCAAGCCATGATAGAAAAGTAGCCACTGTCAAGTAACAGCACTGGATAAATCTCATTTCATCTCCATATCCGAAGTTGGTAAGAAATGATAACACTGACAACAGAATTTCGACTCAGTGATGAAACTATTCACATTTGTAAACTTTGCGACACATTAATGTTGTGGTAGTTGTCCACCGATGCGTTTCTCCAAATGATGACAAGACAAATGACCATTCCTCTTTAATTGACAATATTCTCCGTTCCAAATACAATACTTATCTTAACACTTAATTAGTCCACTCAAAACATTTATTCGATTTACTAAGTAACCAAGGTAGTGTGATGAACGAACGCACAATTGATAACCAAATGTATGTTAATACAAAATTACACAGTATCTTGATAAAATATAGGAACCATACATTAAATACTTCATTTGCAAATTTCCATCACTTGTCTTTCACATTCTGAATGATTCTTCCGATTCACAATTCCTTCCTACTTCCGTTCCTGTTCTCATCAAGTCATGCTTTATAGCCTTTGGCTAGCAGGTTTTCCACTTCCAACTGATGTTATCTACTACTTATATCTATCAACATAAGTAGCATACACCACAGTAAAACTGAATGATGTACACTTAAGCGATCAAGTATCCTTATTCAACCGATTAATTAGCTGTTAATCTTTATAAACTGATGATTGTTTATAATAAGGACTTTATTGTTTTGCACTTTTCAACAGTGCACCCTTCAGGTATGTGGAAAAATACATAACGATTACGAATTTTAAGACTGAAAAGCAATCGAAATACTAATTAGTTCAGTAGTTTAGAACTTGTTGATTAATCTACTCCATTTTATCTGTTTTCAAATATGAAAACCCGGATAGCACCATTTACGTTATTATTTACTTTAGTAGGTTTGCGAAGTGATTACTCAGTCTGAGATTACTTTCCATCAAAAAACTGATATCAACTGAAGCACCGCCAAATATCATGAAACAGACACTTGTCCCGTCTTAATTTAGAACAACTCAAGGGTGAGAACTTACAACCGATTCAGACATCGAGAACAGAACTCCAAGGTTTAATCGGTAGCACTGGTTAATTATATTGTCGAATAGTTTTGAATTAGTGACTCAATATTATCATATATTCTGGATGTACATAGAGATGGAAATGTCGACATTCTTAAAGTACACCTTAGTTTCAACTTCAAGCCCGTCAAGATTACTTCGATTGGAATTCAGAATAACTAAAATTCGTTTGCTGGAATTGTCGTCCTATTCGTTACCTATTTGTTTTAGAAATAACAATTCACTCAGCCATTTGCGTACACATGCTTATACAATTATTTACAACCCATTTGTAATTCCACATGACAATATACTTCAAAGTAACGCAAAGTAAACTAGCTCATTCAAAATATTAACTAAAGGTTTGGGTATGGATGGATCAGCTGAAAGACAGAATGAAGTGTTTCAAGTTTTCACATCCATTTGCAAGGTAACTTCACTTCAGACTGATATAGGAATGAAAAGGTAGTAACTTTGACCATAATTTACGAAATCAATCACTAGCCTTTAGGCATTTTAGAGAAATGTGAATCTCACATTCAATTATGATTAAGAGGTGAGCTGCAGTGATTCAAAATCATACAATGTATAACGTTACAATCTCACTGAAACGGTTGTTGACTTGTGTCAACGTTAAAGTAAATGATGCAATGATTTTTTTTATGAAGCAAATCAATGTCACATTGGACAACAAACCACTGGCAAACAATGTATGTATGCTCGAAACAACTATTAAACATGATAAGTTGAGATCGATTTGAAAGACAATAAGGTACTTTTATTATTAATATCTATAACATCTCAAATGATCACTTTAGATTAATAAAAAGCAACTTGATTCTTTCCTTATTACTAGTTAGCTGAGAATCGAACTCCACCAATATAACAACATAACACAATAAATCAGTAGTATCCAAAGTATTTTTATAGTTAAATTTTTATTTCAATATAATTAATTAGTAATACAATAACAAGAATTTCGATCATAATAACAATATTAAAGAAAAGAGAGATAACTGAGAAAAATGTGAAGATCCATGCATGCAAACACACATGAAGTGTGAATGAGCATTAGAAATTTGAGACTGTAAGAAACTAATCATTGTTACATTCCATATAAATAATAATAATAATAATATAAATGGGTAATATAGATGAAATATACGAAAAATAACAGTGTATTCAACAATATTTACTTTAAACTCACAAATTATATCTCGGGATAAAATTGTTAAACTGAAGAACCCAGTAAACCGGGTGTATTATTTAATACGCTAATAACAATACTAAACATAACAATTGATGACAGACAGAACCAGTAAGCAAGTCAAAACAAAATACCAGCAGACAAACAATTTAAAGATTCAATGAGGATGAAAACAAGATTTTTCTATAGCACAAAAGTTTAAAATAAAAATGTAAACAAAATGTGCATCTGAAACACGGTGAGCAACTGTGATTGAAAGATTGAAGAAACAACAACAATAAGTGATGTCAGGAAGGACAGCAACAAAGAAACAGAACCGAAAAGAGGATAGTCAGTCAAAACTAGAAGAGGAAATCAAATAAATAAATTGGAATAAGAACGACAACTGTTACAAATATGACCTAGGAACGCCCGAATGCAGACTACGAACATTTGTGACGATGTTCACGAATGGTAATTAGAATAACAACGAGATTAGTAGTAGTACTTACACTATTATTAATAAAGAAAAATATGTATTTTTTTGTCTTATATGTGTATGTATAGTAAATCAACTGATATAAAAATAGCTGAGTAGAGTGACTGAAACAGATGAAAAATTCATAGAAAAAAAACAAGACCAAAACGAAAGAAACCGCGCACGTAATCGGTGTTAATTAATTAATAAAGAATAAATAGGCAGTGACGGCTAAAAATAAAAATTGGGTTAAATTCATTGGTATAAAAAACCAAACAAAACAAAAAAATAACCAAACGAAAAAAACTGGCTATTGCACATAAGTGAGAAATTTGACGGATAGATTAAGGTAGATCAATAAATTGAAAACCTCTTTATTAGTATCTCAAGATAAATAGGAGTAACAAAGGTTAAAATATAGAAGGTACAACATTGGCTAAATAGGTCTTCTGCACTCCAAGCATAGGTACTCATATATGCATGTAGTAACCGAACACTAACACAAGAAGCTGTTTAAAAGTTGGTACATACCTCAATCTGATTATTAAATGAGCTATAGTTAGATGGAAATGATGAAAATTGTTTCATAATTATCAAATCACAATAAAAGAGTATATTAACAAAAGAGGAAATCACATTTCACACTGAAAAACAAAGTTGAACAGTAAGATTAAACAAAAGACTAACATCTAAACAGAAGAGTGAAGAGAAAGGAACCACAACACAAAATAAATAACATCCTAAAGGAAAGTCACAAGAGAGAGACACTTAAAAATACCGATCCATGGAAATATCTAACATACTTTCTTGATTTATTTTAAAGTAACAAAACGAAGCAAAAAAAACCGATAAAAATTCGGATTACTTTTAGACAGTTATTTTCTGTTTATATATAAAACTTTGTTTGTATGAATGTAGATAATACAAGGGGTAAATAATAAGTTATATATATATATATATATATATATATAAACAAATGAGAAATCTAATAAAATATTTTGATAAATAACGGTAGTAAAAAGATGCAACAAATAAAAACACTATGAAAATATTTATTTTATCAGATATATGTTTGATGGCCAAACAGCAACAATGATTTTTTGTTAACTTTTTTTTATTGAATATATTAATGTGAAAAATCAATTTATTTTCACTTGCTGTTCGAATAATTTGTTTTCTTTCCAAATAAAAAACAGTAAACAACATACCAGAAAATGAGTAACAATATGTATAATAACCAGAACTGAAAGAATTTTCTGTCCTATAAAAGCATTTTTATTTTGTTTCCAGAGATATAAAAAAAACTCAATCTGATGTCAGCTGTGATATCGAATTCAGTACAAATGAGTAGGATTGTTTTAAGCATCATACATAAATATAATCGATACAAAGAAAAGTAGAACAGAGTACATTTTAATCTAAATGGGAAAACGAACTGAAATAAAAAAAGTGTAAACAAGAGAAATGTTTTTTTTCGCAGTAATTAATAGTAAGTCCTTTTATATGGGATAGTAGATACCATGAAATTTCAATAAGAAAATTTACTTTGAGGTGATAGAGGAAGCACCATAAAACCAATGACTAAGATTCATGACCAAATGTCGTCTAACAAACGAAATCATTGAAAATAAAGAAAACTACAGAATAGAAAGAGAAAAAACGCAAGTCAAATAACTAGATTTCATTTTGAAAAGGTAACCAATGGTAAAATTATTTTTTTTTAAAAACAACATAAGTACGCACAAGAGCCGAGATCAGTGGAAACGCGAGTTACAGAATGCCTTTGAAGCATCATTTACAACAAACTTTTACGAGCAAACTATTTGATTGAGCAGATGAAATTGATAAGCAAAAAAAGTATGAGTGAAAAAGTTTTTAAAACACATACATACTAACTCTCCACTCATTTGCCACACTTCACTTTAACAAAACATCACAATCTGGAAGCGCCCTGAATATGGCTTGTGCGTGGAAAGCGAACCATCACAGAATACTATTATTATTAAGTAAACGAATTAATGGGTCAAGTAGATAGTAATGAAAATTATCTGAAGCATGAATGCATCACGAGCCAGCGCAATAATTAAAAAAATTACAAACATCCACGTTTACAAAATAAACCACGACTTGAAAACAAGGAGAGAAGTATGAAAATCTGCGACTCAAAACAAAGAGATATACTAATTCATACAGATAGTATAGGCATAAGTACACGACACAAAAGAGATGAATGAAAGTTGTCGGTGTAACATACATAAAATATTTATACTTCGCACGTTTCATCACTCTGTGTTACTCAATGATATAAATAGTGGAAATGCATTGTGAATCACGTTCGAATGTATACATTTAACGTATACGTAGAGATGTACTCACCAGATTGAGAATTAAAAATATACACATACTGATTCCGCATGAAATGACATTATAAGAAGCAATGTTGAATTGTTAAAATCCATAAAAAAGGGTTTGCTTGCTTGTTTGTTGCATAACGTATAAGATGGAGAACAAAAACATAAAAACAATATTGCGTGAACGTACTACCATAACTACAATATATTAAATAACAACATGAAAGAATGTAAGAAAATATATGATTTTTTTGTCTAATTTTTGTTGGGTTTTTGTAGAAAGTGTTACATTGAAAAATAAATAAACAAAGGAAAATACCAACAACAAAATAACATTACAAAAATAAAAAGTACCCCACATATACACACCCTCCCCCCAGGGCTCGAAACATTTTCACCCAGTGTTTAAGCACCAAAACAAAGGAAAGAAAAAGGTAGTGACAATTACCAAGTAGAAAGATAACAAGGAAACATGGTAGTTTGGCGGGGAGTATATGATAGAGGCTACACCATTAGAGGAAACGTCAGATCTATAATAGAAACTAGAAAATGTTTTCTTCAGTTTATATATATATAAGACATTGTCAACAGAAGAAATTGAGTAATAATAGTAAAAATCAGTTAACAAAAAACTTTTAAAAGTGAGTAAACCATATTACTTTTAATCGCTTGCATCCTATCACTCAGGATAGATATACAAGACACATACTACCGAATTGATGTATAAAAGTAGATGTTATATCTATCTTTGGTATGTAAAGCAATGTGCTGGTGCACTTGTATTAGCTAATCATTTTTGTTTAAATGTTGCTTTATGAGAGAAAGAAAACAAGTACAATTAAAATAATGTGTATAGTAAATATGTATGTAAATAATAATATTTATATAAATATGTTTATAGAAAAGAATGAAATTAAAAACTAAAAATAAGTATACATCATAAATGGGTGTTTATTCAATGACTAAAAGAAAATTCACCTCTAATAATTAGTAAGCTAAAAGTGTAAAACATAACATTGTCGATTTTTTATAAACAAAAATATTAGTATATATATATATATATATATATATATATACTGAAGATGGTCTAATTAACTATCATCAATACCAACTCATTTATTGGACAGTAATGGTAAAAATAATAATGACATATAATGCATAAAGAGAGATCGAGGTACCCCACATGCGTTGATCAACTAGATAAAAAAAACGTCAAATCAAACTAAAAGGATAACCGACAGAAACAATCATCAAATGATCACAAATAGAACATGAAAACAAAATTAGAAAGGTAGATTAATGAAAGAAATGAACAAAACAAAAAGATATTACATTATTATTATTACTAAGAGTAACACAATCAAGTTAACAAAACAGACAAGTAGAAGTGAATAGAATTTAAAGATATCAAATAAAACTTAAAAAAGAAAAACAAGATCACAATTCAATTAAACACGAAATGAACTAACATGAAAGAAAATTATCCACAGACAAAGAGATAAGAATTCAGAAGAGGAAACTAAACTAAGAATGAATCACAGTTTAAAAAAAACAATTTCACCTTCTTAGGAATCCAACAAGTAAGTAAACAACGGGATAAAAGTATAATAGTAAGGAGAGGAAACACACTGTTCAAGCTAACTAGTTGATGAAAAGGATGAGTAGTTAGTGATGAGAATAATAGTAACAAGAAATAATAGTACCAAAGTATGCAATTTGTGTGTCTTCTGCATTTACTTAGGTCGTTTATAAGATATATTATATGAGTGCTTTTATATATATAATTAACTGAGGAACAAATCATCAGCATTCAGTAAATGAGAAATCACAGACTAGGAAATGGCAACAAAAAAGCAGACTGATATTTCAATGGAAAAGATTTTCGAAAACACCAACTTAGACAGGCCTTGCGCAAAAATGTTTTAACTCAGTGGTCACTCTTTAATCAAATGAATCCACTTTTGTCAGTGGAATTTATTGATTGATTATAATTATAGGTGTTGGATAGCTGACATAAAAAGGATTTAAACCGGCAAAATATATAAGAGAAAAACCAAAAAAAGGAAAGCACCAAATGATTGAAACAAGAACAAAAGAATACGACAGGTTGAAGACAATGAAAGTAAGAGGTCGAGATCAGAAGAAACATTTCCAATTTGTATGAAACAAGCATGCTGAAAGATAGAACAAGCTAGCAAATAATAACACACTTGTATGCGTCTACCATCGATAAAGTGCAGGACGAGGACGTTCAGCTCCTTCTTTGACTAGAGGTTTATGATATTCACGACCATAACGACTGTGTATCTGTACCCAACACTGTTCACAATAATATTGAAGGCAAGTAACATTAGCGCAAAAAAATGGGGCAAATTTACCCCCACAACGAGTACCTTGACATTCATCACACATTTGATTATCCAAGACATATGGTTTAACTTCAACCTAAAATAAAAATATAATACAGTAAGAAAAAGCATATACGTTGAAGGGGGGAATCTCACGCGCTTGAACAAAAATAACCTACGAATTTCAGAAGCTGGCATTGATGGTGATTTACCACATGTAGAACGAGACCCAAGCATCTCTGTCAGTGTTGGTTTATAACTTCATCGACTAAATGATCCTGCTGTTTACAACTCTACAAGTAGCTTTAAAATTGTCCAATCGAGATTTCCACCATACACCACAGTTATGGTCAAATAATTTTATTGATTCTTTAAATTAAAAATACTATCCAACCGTTATAAATACGAATCAGATAACGCTATTCACAGTGGCTATCTAAAGAAGTAACTCTAATCGATGTGAAACAATCTATTTCAAAAAAGCACCAAATATAATCAACAGAAGTAATAAAGATGATCAAAGTGAACAGCCATCTAGTACAATATTTTTAAAAACCAACTATGATAAACGTGGATAAACGCAAAAGAAAAGAATAAGATGTACAGCTTCAATCTTTAGTTATCTAACGTGGGGCAACAGTCATCGATTAGCTAACTATACGATCAATGCATGAAATGAGTGAAAAAGTTATAATTTGTCATTTTGTTATCAAAAAAGAGCATCACACATATGTTTGAACATAACCCTCATTTATAAACAACATAACTTTTTTCCCACTTAGCTGGATTATTTTAATCTATCCTAATTTTCTTACGAGAAAGAAAAACACCTGAAAAAAGTATTCACATAGAAAAACAACAGAAGAAAGAACTTAATAGAAAGTAGGGCTACGTCTAGATTCCAGACGAACACCCACGCATTCTCCATTCAAATAAATTTGCCAACCATACATCTATTTATAAATGCTGCTTATATTCAATGAAAAGAAATCAATAGGATTGGATAACCAAGAAATGGAGGAATAGAACTAGTCAGTAGGAAAATTCCAATCAATAGAAACAGTCTGACCACACTAGGAGGGAAGGGGAAACTGCTAGTTTACGGTGTTAGATACGAAAACGAAAAAGGGAACGATAAATGGAAACTAATGTAGAGTTAACTATTTATAAAATTATCGTTAGAGAATGAATCATTGCCAATCAATAATTGTTATTTTCGTGATCATTCGTATTACGTTGTTGAAATAAACAGAAACAACCATGATAATTAAACTACTATTTACAATAGTCTCCAAACGGTAAAAAACAAGCAGAGATGATTTGCCAATAACTAGAATGAGATGAAAAATTCAAATTAATACACAGCTAAAACTCTGCCACTTCTTCTTTTCAGTATTAACTATTACAACTATGATGATAAATGATTGGATGGGGTACGTAGAATTCTAGTAATTAACAGCTAGTCAATAGTCGATTTTGAGATACTTCTGCTGTATGCGTGTGGGCACTACTTAGTTTTAATCATAATAACAGTCAAACTCTTCTGCAATTCACGCTGACAAATGAGTATGCCATCAATAGATCAATAGGTTTGTATTGAAAAAAGCCCTTACACAAAGTTAATTCAACATGAAAACTATCTTAAATGGCCCGTAATCAAAACAAATCTTCTGGAAAAAGATACAGTACTATTAACAATCCTGAATAAAATTGTAGGCAAAGGTTTAAATTATATATATATATATATATATATATATATATATATATATATATATATATATATATATATATATAATTCCATAAACTTACTCGTTTATCAATTTCATTATGCTGTAATTGCACAAATCGTGCACTAATTGCAGCGATGTAACTTTGTTGATTTGAGAAAGCGACACGACCAGCACCTTTAGGATATTTCAATTCTGGATCTGTATCTATGCCAGCATAACAAACACCTCCATATAAACGATCCATTATTAGGGCAAGTTCGACTATTTAAAAGTGAAAGCAAAACCTCGGAATAAACGAAAAATAACCATAATGGAACAAAATTGGGTTTAAACGAACAGGCTACTTTCATTCGGATATACATCGCACTTCTCACCTTACTAGTACGACGAATCTAAACTCCCAACTTCATAAATGGAGATTTAAATATTATATTAACAGCACGATCTATCAATAAAAATTTAGAGTCAAGACTTCTCAAAGAATCTGAAGTCTTTGCACCTAAGCCATTGTACATGATTCACTTTAAACGTGACGCACATTCCGATATTTTAAAAGGAAAAATATGAAACATCACCGAAAGAACACACTTTGCAGCAACCATCAGAATAATGTTCTCTAGTTAATCTACTGACAACTCAAAGGAAAACTAATAGAATTTAACCCCTTCAACGTTCATCTATTACTGCTCATGTTCCTGTCGATTAAGGTGCAAAGGTCGTTGACTGAGCAGTTCAACCAAGAAAGTTCAGGAACATTAACTCTGTTAGCAAGCGAGGTAACAGTGTTTGTATCAGAAGAACGATTGTAGGAAACCTTACAAGCGACCATATGATCAAGGCAGACTCGCCAATCCAAGTTCTCTACAGGAAAACCAGAAACATACGAAAAGCAGTATCTTTGCTTCCTCAATGTATTACTAAATTCGTCTCTATACACAGCAAAACCAGTATCATATGTACAAAAGAAACTTATCTAACCTATTTACTTTCTGTGAACTTAACCTAAAAATTTTAACTAATTGAATCCCTATTCCGTTTTGCTGACTTCTAGTTTTTTTTTTATTTTGCGAAAATCTAACAAATCATTCTTTCTACCGCACGGTTAGACCCTTAACTCATACAGACTTACTGTTGTTTTGATGTTGTTTTAGAATAGGATTCCTTTTCAAAATTTATCTTACTATATTAGGCAACCAAAATTCTTTCTCTAAATTTTATGACATTCTTAACTCACTTTTGATTCAATCTCTTAATATGGATAATAATCTTAATGTTTATTTTACTTCCATTAATCGTTGTCGAAAAGAATATATATATGAACAACTCTGAGAAGGAAACTGCCGAGCATATATATCTTCAATGAACTATACTCTTGTTTCCAAAACGAAACTGGTAGATAACCACAAAAAAGAAAATGCAGATATTGACAATGATGTTTTTTCTAGGATGATGTCAATACATGAGCCTTCACTTCATTTGTTTAAATCTACACTACAAACTTTACTTTCGGAAGCTTGCCATTTACGCCATATTTTACAAAAAGAGAGGTATAAATTGTAGGATCGTTCAAAGATTATGACGTACAAGCTAAGATAAATGTTAAGGCTTGATTACCTCAGTATTTGACATTTAGATTATAAATACTCTATAACTTTAATTCAAGACAGATACTTATCAAAGAGCTAGACACTTTAAAATGAAACAAATCAAGTGATTATTTAACTGACTTTAAAACTGAGAGTCAATTTTTAATTACTAGGATATACAAAAATAAATGAATGAACGTAACAACATTGTCACATACAAAAATTGAAATTATTCGAAGCTAATTAGTTATCGTAAATATTGAACACTGTAAAAACTTTAAACTACTGAAAACAGTAAAAAATTATTGTGGGTTGGATTTATGCTTACTTCACTAAACAGCACTATGCGAGTATAAATGAGGGTTAGCAAAAAGCAATAAAATTTAATTGCTTGTTTTTTGTAGGAAGCTAAAGAAGACCGAAAACCGAAATGTTTAAACGCATTGTTTTGATGCATAGTGATTAAAAGCAACCAATTTTCAACCACTAAATGGCATATTGAAATAACTGTCTTAACTACTCTAGTCAGGCAACCAGCTCGAAATTAAAAATATGCCACTCGTATCCAAGTATATTAAACGAGACATGGTTGTTGGAATATATTTCTACATAATATTTATTGTAGTGAACAATTATCTCCGAAATTTTTTCCCTTGTTTTCACGATGAAACCAGTATTCCTCTCTTTTTTATTTGTTCTTTGGTAATTATTTTCCAGGCTTAACTAAAAACAAGTTTTCATGTACAAAGAGTAGTTGCCTGGTTTTATCTATAATCAACGTACTGGTATTTTATTTCGGAGTTGAAGATTAAGACAGCTAATATGTAGTAACCCAATCGTGATTTGATTAACAATTGATAGATTAGAAACATATAGTGTAAAAGATTTCAGCAACATTATAACTTGGTTAAAGATTATATATATATGAGGATGTATCCTTAGGGAATTAGAAATAACGTATATTTTCTCTTTGTTCAGATTACTTCCATATAGTCAGTTGGATAAAAAATAATAATGAATTAAATACTGTATAAAAGATAATGACTAAGCTTCTTGTTTGAAAAAAAAACGAAAAACTGTTTTAAGGCCAAAAGAGAAAGGAAGAAAAGTAAACTTCTGTCTACAAGTAAGGTCATTTTCAGGTCATGCCAAAAATAGGAGGGGATTTGAAACTGTTCACAGAGACAAGACAAGTGAGGAGAAAGAAATCCATCCAATAGGCAGAGAATCATGTAGGCTGGGACGGAAACGAATATATATATATATATGCAAAATTATTAATAACAATGAAGTTTCAAAGTGACTGAATGCAGTTGGATGAATGGTAAATCGATATATGAAAATATCCTTTTTATAAACAAACAAGAAAAGGAGTTTTCGTTTTTTCTTTCACCTTAATTTTAATAAATATGGGTCAAATATAACTAAAATATTTTATATTAATTAGTTTCTTAAAATTTTAAAATATTTATTTTGGTTTCCATTTAGGAAATATATTAATACTATATTGTATGAAATTTAGAAGACTTTAATAGTTAATTTAATAAATCATTTTAAGGAAAAGATTAGTGTTTTTGGTTGTATAATAATTATAATATTGTCAAAAGTGACAGACCTATTTAAATGCACTTTGCCATAGAAATGCAAAAACTGGATCACAAAATAAGTAGACTACAAATAGTTACTATAGATTTAGAGTGCATTAATCTTATCCGTTTCGTAAAATGCTATTTACTTCAGGTAATACTTTTGTGCTACCTCGGTCTCCATTATTGAGACCTTGGTAGTCAGTTGCACATAGTTTCGCGGTTTAATTTTCCAATATTTTTGTTTCAATCATATGCACTTCTCATAAGGAATCATTTGGACAGTAAGCTGGTGATCAGAAAACATCATAGATCGCATACATTCGACGATTTCACCAACACAAAGTCAACGGTCGTCTATGACTTACAACATCCCTTTCGTCCTCATTGAAATGCTTGATTCACTTGAAAACTGATGTTTCTTTTAATACGTTACTTCCCTATACAACTCTAAACATAAAATGAATTTCTTGATTTTTGTTTACCAAGTGCCTCAATTAGCAAACTTACTGGACGGACCATTAATTATCAGTTATTATGTTCATTGGATAACCAGTAGAATTGATATCCCATGTATTCATTACGTTACTCCTTATGAACATCGATATTAGTATCATTCATATTAACCTACTCGTTAAATAAGTAATGAATGTTTTCTGAACGAAAAATATTTTTTGTATAACAAGAACAAGTTTACAATGGATTTGTTTCTGTACATGGTTTTTGTTTCTAGTTTACTTTCTATCTATAAGTTCACATGATGATTCCCGCTAAAAATCTGAATTTGTACACTTTTAGATCACTATAGACAGTCAACTCTTCATCAACTCATCTAATAGATAATTGTCATAGTAAAATGTGTAAGGCATGGGACTGTGTATGCGGTTACAAAGTCTAGGAAATTATATAAATTAAAATGTGACTCAGTTTTCGAGTAAAAAATTGCACACTTGGGCAAGGCTCTTTGTGGACTTGTAGGAGGAGAATAATTAGAACATGGTTGGCCTACATATAGATTCTTCTGTCGGTTTTATCTAAAAATCCAAAATGCGTTTAGACTTTTATACAACTATGATTCACTGCAATATATGTAATTTGAATAACTTATGTGAATATTTGATACGGATATGAAAATGTTAGTTTGATATTGTGTATATGCACAAAAAAGACAGACTGATTGGTGAATAGACAAACTTAATGAATTTTTGTTAATTCAATACTATCTACTACGAGTCACTTCGAAAAAGAATAGGGAACGAAACAATCAATGAAATTATTTTCATAGTTGATATTGTGTAGAGATTTGTGCAATCTGAAGATTGATTATGTCACAGATTGATAGCAGCTAGAGAATCAATAGAAACAAACAATAGTTGTCCTTGGTTTCGTAGCTCCCTTCAATTAATGGTAGTCATTAGGTGAACACTACATATATAAGAATTACTCGTTGAAGATAGCTTTTTAAAACTCAAATGGATAAAATGTGATTTTTATTAAGTATATATGTGGAAAGATCATAGATAAAAGGAATATCCGGTTGACACAGTTGAAACAAGCTAGAAACCATATTTTTCATATTATAATAATGGTAATTAGTAAGAAATATCTATCACACTGTGATAAGATTATATTGTCAACTCATTGGTCAACTTACTAGCTCTAAGTGGACGTGGAACACCTCCAACAAAAATTGTTTTACGAGGATCTAATGGTTGTGAACCATCCATGACAAAATCGGAGTCCGCTAAGTTCCATGGCCGAATTTGAACCTAAGATTTTTTCAAAAAGAGCTTACAAATAAAACAGCAAACAATGTGAACAATTAAAAGGTAACTCTACTCTTGTTTACTTGATATTATCAAACATGCAGTTTCATAAAGTGAATAACAAAGTTGTAGAAAACAATGAGCAGAGAAATAATAATACATATTGAAGTCAAAACTAACAAAAAGTTAGGGCCGAGTTAAAGATCCCACATTGATTGAACCTTGTTTAAAATAAGGAGGTTAATTGTTTGACAGCATGAAATACTAGAAGCTAGCAATGTCGGTTGGAAAGTTTAATGGTTAAGAGAATAAGACGCAAACGCTGAGATAGCGAGTAAAAGTGTAATTAAAAGAACTGAAAACAAAAATTTGAGTGTTTCAGATCAACCAGTTCGATAGGATGATTCATAAGGTACCTTTGATAACTCCCTTTTGGAAAATAAACGAATTCTGGTAATATTGATAACGAATTACCAAAAACGCTAACAAGAGTTGAGTTACCATTAGAATCACTAGTTTGGAAATTGAACGTAACAGCAGAGAACTGATGCGAAATTTAATTGAACAAGATTGATGCAAAACTGTGATGTTTCATGAAACAGAAAAATTTGTTTGCTTAAGTGAACTGGTAAAGACTACTTAATAGACAACTGTAAACAGGCACTTGTTTTCTAGGGGTCCGCGTGATTATTGTGACTAGTGATTAGAGACTTTAAATGACAGCTTAAAATCATTTGCAATGGCGCGGATACATCCATTTTTTGTCTTCCTCCAGTTTCTGAGCTTCTGAATCTCTCATAACTTTATTTCACTATTTGTATTTTCTTCTTTAATAGTATCTTCGATCTCTAATCTCTTCAGTTACAACTGATATTGTTACTATCTCTACTACTTTAGGATTTGGCCAGAAATTTCATCTTTCTGTGCTAATGGGGTAGGACACCTTGAACTAATGTACATACGTAGCAGGTTTTGCGTTGCAACTGACTTGTTTGTTCAAGAAACGTATAACCAATCTATCTTTAAACAACTAACCACAATACAATCTTTCTATTCAGAAATAACACATAGACATATCCAACTTGATGCAAATTAGAAGGAAACGATGAATTTATTTAGATCTATTTGGTACGAGAAGTAGATTAAATTCAATAACCTTATTGATTAGACTGATTAATTGTTAGATTTTGGATTCCTTGTACTAATGCCGTAAGGTGAAAATTTCACAACCACAACTTCCCTTAACAATTGAAAATATTAGTTGCTGGAACCAAATGGAATAGCTTAACCATAAAATAGTATGTTAGCGGGACATAGACTAGATTAAAGCATGCTCAATGCGTGATTGCTTTGGTGCACGCTGATTGGCTAATTCTTATCCAATCAGCACTAGTCGATAGTTGGAGAATACTCTGGAATCTTCTTATGTAAAAACTATAAATATACTGACGTTTTCCCTATTGTGCTTCTGGCTTGCATCTTACTTCCATCTAACCTTGTTATTTGGAATATAATCTCTTTCCTGTTCAACCGTGTTCTGATTTGGGGACTTGTCGAGTGAACCGGTGTCCGAGAATACTAAGCAATAGGAATAGCTGGGTCATAACCGTAAGAAAGAGATTTATAACATAGTATATCAAGGAACTAAAGATTTTGACTAAGTAGTTCAGAGAAGTGAGTGAATCATACTAATGATTTTGACAAGGTGGAAAAAATATGTCTAGGAAGTTGATTCTCAATGTTTGATTTTCTTTGACAGCGCGATACGATAAAGGTTATTTCCAAATTCCGTGGAATCTCAAAAACCAACTTACGTCTGAGGTTTTAAACCAACAGAATATTTTGCTGTGAAAAGAATGTATGCAACAATAAAACATGTAATTTGACTAGACGTCTCTTGTCATACATAATTTTAGATAAAACGACATGAAGTAAACCATACTAGAGACACTATTTTTCGACCTGGATATAATATGGTGTATGCTACTTATGTTGGTAAGCATAAGTAGTATGTAACACCAATCAGAAGTGAAATGCCTGGCAGAAGGTTGAGAAGATCGAATTGAAGAGAACAGGAATGTAGACAGAGAGTAAATACAATAACAACAGGAATGAACGAACGATACAGTTTGTAAGAGACAATTGATGGAAGATGTGAAAATAAAGTACGTAATGTATGGTATTTATATTTTATGAAGACATTGTAATTTTAATTGGTTTTCCGCACCTAAGTCCTCGTTCAGTATAATAGTACTTTAGATGAAAAGTGAAGGTTACGTCATGAAGTTAACCACTTCAGATAGATTTCAAAACCGAAAATAAAAGTATTTTCACGTCACAAAGAGATAGGGTTAAAACTCGAATAGTTTAGACAAGTTTACTGAAGAATTCGACTCAATTAATGTATCTACGACCAATCGAATGACGCATATGTCGAAGAGTATACAGTACTAAATAAAATAGCTACCAATTCTACTGATACCCTTCGTTTCGGCACACGCACCACACAAATAAAAGTAATCTTTAGTGCACTTTGTACATCTTAACTTCTAAAAAAATTATCCATGAAGACAAAATTCGACGGGTTTTACGGATTATTTTTAGATACAGTAACTCCAATGTATCTAACCAAGTTACTTCACTTATGCGCATACATATACCATCCTGATAGACTGTAGATCTTTAATAGTCATTAAACTATGAGAATCCACGAAAGATCTTTTGAACAAGTAATAAAAATATGTGGACAATTCATCCCCAGATTTCGACTGACAAACAAATAATTAGGGAAAATACAGATGACAAAAAATGAATCGGTTGGTTGGTAAGCATTTATGACTATGATTATCGAGCCGTACATTGTCAAATCAAGCTATTGAGGAATTGTGAAACTAAAAAACATATGAAAAGTGACTAGCATTTGATCATATTCGTCTTCGAAAGACTGTTCATGGATGACGAAACAACTGTGTAACCGAACGAACGAAGTTCAGATAATATGTATCTCTATGAGAACTTACGGGTTTATCTTTCATCGTAGGTGATGATACGCACCAATAGTATTTTCCTTCATCAACAATACAAGCATTAATAAGACTTTGAACAGATCGTTCATCTTGGAATAGCAGAAAACAATAGCCTAAACAAACAGAAATTTAGAATAAACAGGTAATCTGTGAAGGTAGTACTGATATACTAATATTAATGAATTGTTCTTTAATGGTATAGGTCTACGGATCGAAATCCAGCAAGTAGTACAGGTTAGTGTACAGAACTATGAAAATCAACGAATATGAAGCGGGATTTTTATTTCACGAACCTAAAATGATTGAGTTAATTTTTTTAATCAATGAGAGCTAGTTTTATCTAGAGAAAAATCAATAATTAGTGTAAACTAGTTAGTTCACTCTACGCCAATGAATGATGTAGATTCTAATCACTGACTTCATGCATGTGATAATTTATGTTCATAAGGACTAAGAGTAACAAACGTAACATGTCATAAAGGGAAACAAAACTTTACTGAATCCCATTTATATGGATTGTGACTTATTTGGAAAGACTGAATATATAGCTTCAAGGTATTACTTAAAATATAACGTTTATTTTCTCTTCAAATATTGATTTTACGTGCGATAAACAATGCGTCTACCAATTTCTTAGCTAATTAGAATTGATTGAAATCTTACTAAAGAATAAGATATTTTTGTCTGAGACCAAGATTACAACGACCCAAAAGCTTGAAGAGTTATTCATGATAGTTATTAGTCTTTCATTAAATAATGACTAATTAAATCCCTGGGAACTACTATTCTCAAACTTTAAATGAAGTTTTTTTAAAGGAGAGGAAAAAGGATGAGGTACACCTTACCTTTTGGTGGAAAATATGCCTTACTTTCAGTTTTATGGGGCCAATCAACTATTAAAGGGCCAAATCGACGAAAAGCAGTAGTTATTTCCTCTAAAAGAGAATCGAAAAATTTTTTTATTAATGAGTTAATAGCGATGTAGGATGACAGCCAGGGTAAAGATAGTTCCGTATAACTAAGAGGAAATTACCGATACTACTGTTAGAAATTATTTATTATTGGAAATCAACTTACAACAATGCACAAACACTACAGTTAATCCACTTCGCGATCTTTCGTGGATGTCGATCCCTGACTTTATAAATAACTGATCATTAGATAACTTTACCGTTTTGAATATGTTTGGAAACTGTGTCAAAATTAATGATTAATCCAATTTATCATACAACTACGTAGTATATACGGCCAAGACAATTAAAATAGTAGATACTTTAAAATCAATTAACTATTGTACATTGACTCGACTGGTAAGTTTTTATCTTACTTTAGTTCTTCACCTTGGAGATAATGCTTGGTATCAATTACATGGACATGTACCTGCTTTGTCGTTCAGCTAAAGTAATTTCTAAGCCTCCACAATCTTAGTGCTTGAACTATATTACTCGCGCTAAGTTGAGCGAAAAATTTGAAGTACTGACATTTTTTAAAAATGCTGTTTTCTTTAGGGCCCATCTTTGAGCATTCTGAAACTCTACACATCAGACCAAACAAAAGGTATTTTTGACTTGATCGAAGTTCAACGCAGTTGTGTGATCAAGTAACATAATGATGACCCCAAAGATTCTTAATACCAGTAAATAAAGTGCTTTGTAAGTGTACATACACAGCGAATTTCTTGATGTATTCAAAAGATTGATTCAACGGTTTATGACTTAACATTTATACTAATGTTCTTAAGGATAAATAGGTTTAAAGATGTGTCATTGCACACAAACATTTCCCCGACTAGTACTATTACTATATTCAGTCATTAATCGTCTTCTTCCTCATTCAGTTAGGAAACAGAACATACGTCGATTAATTCAGTAGGAATTCAACTGTTTGAAACCTAAAATCCTTTCCTTAAACTTTGCCATGTTCACCAAATATATATGGAATTATAATTGGGGTTTAGTGTATAGCACTGAATAGAGTCTATGTGTAGTGGTGACACGCACGCTTTCACAGGAAATCACTCTGATACTGAAGACTGATCTGAAGGAGTTTGGTAATTAAATTCAACGAGGCGTCCCTAGACAAACGGTTCAGACATCGTCGTCGAGATGCTATACTACAACCAGTGATCAATTACATATTCGTTCAAGAAAACGCTTAAACCTATAAACTATATAAATTTTGAAATAATAAGTTCCCCTTAACCTCTAATCAAGTAATCAAAATACCCGACTTTTCCAACAGTTAACTTGTAAGATGAATTTTAGCCCTTTAAAATGACAACCAGCCTTACAATTCTTCAGAAAGTGCTATTATACATAATAGTCAGTTACAACCGACAATATTAACGGTCAAATAACTCAATTAGAATTTTTGTTTTTCAGGACCTCAATGCACAATAAATTTTCGCATTATCAATCCATCACAAAGTAACAATCTCCCAAAACAGTCATAATAAATAGGAGTTACATCGTCTACGATTCGTGTTTTTGGTACTGATAAAATAAATTCACATAAAGCGCCAAATAGATGGAATTCACAGACTTTACCATCCTAAAAATCTGAGGTTCTGTATAAATTCAAGGATATCGTGAGTGAACAAAGCAACAATGACCGCCGGATTCAATAAACAAGTCGGTAGTGTCTTGGTTTTAAAAATAATAATTGCACTTTTCTTCGAACACCTTAAAATCTTCACTATACATATATCCTGGAATCAATGTTTAAACTAGTGATCGAGAGTAACTACAATTGATATCTTTATCCATTTACTTTCGACTATCTACTCTTGATATTCTAGTTATGTAGTAAAATAAGAGAAAACAACTTGATGTTTAAAATACAGGAAAAAATGGCCGGTTACAGAATAAAGTCTGAGTGTATAAATCATGAGAGTACAATCTAAATATTAAACTAGTAGCTGGCAATGGATATTAGACCATCCATGAAGTGAAAGAAGCAAATGTCTAGGAATTACTCTTAAAATAATAAACAAGTCAAAGCTGAATATTTAAGGCTTTGGGTATTAAACTAGTATCTAGGATACCAGTAAAGGTGTTTGAGACTAAGAAGGATCGAAGGAAACCAAAGAATCCATATCGTAATGCGTCATTACCTCCTTAATAAGGTTTGCATCTTAACTAAGAAAAAAAGCTTGTACTTCGATTGATTACAAAAAATAATAGTGGCAGCACTCACCAGCCACACAAGCTTATTTGCCGAAATATAGACAAGGATTTTTGAGTTAATGGTAATCCCCAACCATCTTTTCCCTCATCAAGTGGTTGTTTGAATTTGGATTAAATTAGAGTACCTTAGCTAATGAGCAACAGCAACGACGCATCTAATTAATATATACAAAGCCATATCAAAAAGCAAGCTATGTATGATGAAGAATATAAACTTTTACATGAATAATCTACTGAAGTCTCCCATTATTTGAACCAAGCTGTAAGTCAGTAACAACGTAAAACTTCGTACGTACGTACATCAGTTCGAGTTGCCATACTAAGCTGTGGCGAACATAATAAAGTAATTTACATCAATAACCTACGAAAAGCAAAAAATTACAGCTCATACATATTGACATACCTTCGTCTATATCAGGTGGGAGGCCCCCAACGAATACTTTGCGTGAAAATCCTTCTTCACGAGTAAAAATATTTGCAAACATAGAATATGGGCTTGTTATTGCAGCTGAACCCATCATTGAACTCCCGTTGTAGCTAGAAAGACTATTAAAACCTGGACTTTGGTTATTTGAACCATTTATCATAGGTGTTGAGTTGTGTATCGACGATGAGCCTAAGACAGGCATTTGGCTTGCAGAATTTAAACCAGGTATTTGTTGGTCTACCTCTCCAAAATTAGATGACAATGTTAAATCATCGATCCCTCCCATAGATGTGGTATTTGCATTCGAAGAAACTAAATTAGAACCTCCAATGTTACTGATTTCAAAAGATTTGATAACTTCCATAAGCTGTTGATCTAACCCGTATTTGAAACTATCTAAGGAACTTTCCGACGTTGGGCTGTTGAATGACAAGGTATTTGTGAAAGAGTCTCCAGAAGAACACAGAACTAGTGAACTATTTGCAGACGATGATGACCCAACACTGTTTAGCGCCTGGATGATAGAGTGGTTATTCAAGCTTCCAGCACTATTATTTACACCGGAATCCTCACAACCATTCGGTAGAGCTGAGAGAGTGGAATTAACTCCAGTTAAACTACCACGATTACCATTTAGTTGAATACTACTTGTGACAATGTTCATAAGACCTTTACCTAATGGTACTTGCTGTGAATTTTGATGATGTTGTTGCTGTTGCTGCCAATGTGCCATCATTCGGTGTTGGGGGCGCTTAGGAAACATACTATATATATTTGAAAGACCTGCCTCGTTTACTTTATTGTTACTGGTAATACTGACGCCGGTTGTAGATACTGATACAAGACCCACGGACACAGCTGTCCGATTTAAGGAACCGTTAGCCATTCCACTACCAAAACCCACAGGTCCGACCATATTTGGAATGTTCTGGACGTTTGGTTTGTGAAGTGTCTGATGAACTGACGAATTTTGAGACCACGAAACCGTATTACCTTCATTTCCAGGAAAATCACAAACTGTAGGAGGATTCGAATCAGTGACAAGACTACTACCCAACTTTGCTGAAACACCAGTGCCGTTGCTGCTCCATGCATTGGAAACCATGTATCCAAGTGCGGAGTTTGACAGCCCATTAGAATTACTCGACCACATACCTCCTTTATTAACTGCAGGGTAACGTGCAGTCTGATGAGCTCCAGTGATCGGACGCTTAGCTGCAACAGTCGCAGTAGTGGGAGTGTTGCTGTGAACAGTGGGGAAAATGTTACTACAATGACCATCATTTAAAACACTATCTTGATCTATTTCTGTGTTAGACATAAGAGACGTGATTGTGTCCCCGGCAAATGAGAAGCTATGGTCTGCAGAAGTAACCCCTACACAATTCCGGTGGTTCCATAAATTACTTGGTACTCCGAATTCAGTTGAAATGTCTAAACTGTCTGACTCAGCTTGAATACACTTCGTGTCGCTTTTTTGATTAATACCTGTAAGTGTATCAGTTGTAACACCAGATTCTAATGCTGCTCTCATTAAACGATAATCTGCACTGAGATTATTAGCACGCAAGCAAGTAGGATCTGCTAACTGGTCAACAATAGAAGTCAAATTATGTGTTTTGTTTAGTTTATTTCGATATTCTGATTCGCACAACTGTCCATCAAGGCGACCATACGCAAGTTTCCCGAAATCAGCTACATCTGACGCCGATGAGGTCTTATCCAAATGTTCTGAGTTTGATTTTATTAAAGACAGAAAATGGTTTCTGTTCAGATCATCAGAGCTAGTTACACAAGAACTAGTCAATTGTGATCCAAGAGACAGTGAGTCACAAACTTCTGTTAAAGGTGTAGATACTTGACACCCCTGACAGGACACTGGTGTTAAAATTATGCCAGAGCTATTTGGGGGATTACGGGATAAGTCACGATCTTTTCGAGCGTTCTCAAAAGTTTCAGGTGTAGTGTTACTTCCGATTCCAATATCAGAAAGATGATCGAGATCAGAGCGTACGACTTCTGACATTCGAGAAACGGTCGTACTATACAGGGAAAGGTCTGAGGAAGTGAGGTGGTCTGCACTTTGGAGAGCTGGTCTACATGATGGTGACTTCAGAAAGCTTTTTTGAACGGTAGAACTTCTTACCAGTTCGATTTCCCCATTCATCTGTGAGAAAGAAAAATTTATTCAACTACCGTGACCACTTTACTCAATATAGCACCTATAATATAACAACAAAATGCATTTTATTCGAATTACAAAACCACAAAACCAAGAATTACCGCTACTGGCACGTATCCAAAGTCTTAGCGGCAGGGCAAGTAACGAATTGCCCTAGCGATGGTGCACTTAAACAAGCGTTGTCTAAAGAGCAACATTTAATAAGTTACTTAGGAAAGTCTCGCTCCTTGTCATTTTCAAAATTGTAGTGTTTATCTACGTAAAAATATCTTGAGGTTTATCGAAAGGTGGTTTCAATTCTTCAATTCCTTAACTTCAAGACTCGAGTAACCACTGCAAACTTGTTCAGTCTTTAGTAATAAGGATAGGAGGTCTTTCGACCCATATTAATCCTTGCAGTTTGTAATACGGCGGACGTCCGATCTCGTTTTGAATATATTAGCAGGGGGTGCTGATATTACGTGTTCCAGTAGGGAATTCCGCTAATTCACTACTCGGCGCGAGAAGCGAAACTCCAGACGTAAATTATTTGAGCTCGGTTTTCGGAATATCTTGGAGTGTCCTCTCAAATAATCAGTCCTAGAGGGAAGTAAGAGATAAGATATGTAAGTACCAAAGTCATCGTTCAGTATACGATAAGCCAATAATAGATCACCCCGTACTCCACGGTAAGATAACGGAAATAAGTTAAGGTGTCTCAGTCTGTCTTCATAATATAGGCCAGACAGACCTTGTACCATCTTAGTACCTTGTCGTTGGACTCTTTCCACCATCTCTGCTTCATACTTGAAACAAGAACTCGCTGCTTGAATCCCATATTTTAAATGTGGTTAAACATAAATCGGGTATAATAATCTAAAAATTTCATCTAAATACTGGAAAGACCTACGAACAGACCATAATACTCCATTGTCTTTCGCAGCAGCAGCCTTACAGTGATTAGTGGTTTTGAGATCACTGCTTAATATGACTCTTAAATCTTTATAGTTTCTTACTTTGGGTAGCACGAATCCACATATTGTATGGTGATACGATTCATCATAGTTATTTATTTGCATAACTACACTCTTATTAGGATTTACTTCTAGTGACCACCTATCCAACCATGACACCAATGAGCTAAGATCATTCTGTAATACTGTCGTATCCGACATACTGTGTATGGGTCATTAAACTCTTATGTCATCAGCGAAGAGTAGAACGGATGATTTTGCTATAGTTGGTAATTCATTTGCATAAAGTAAAAAGAGGAGAGGACTGAGGATTGCACCTTGTGGAACTTCACTTTCTACAGGTGCCCATAAGAAGAGAGCCTCATTTACTCTTACCCTTTGTCTCCTGTCATGGGGAAGTTACTTATCCGATCTACGACTGTATAATGGATTCCAAAACGTTCCAGCTTGAATTTAAGACCAGAGTGGGAGATTTTATCGAAGGCCTTACTATGAAGATCACATCCACAGGAATATTCCGATCGTTGCTTCTCCGATCCTAGGATTACCTTAAGAAGTCTGCATGGTCGGGGTTTAACATTGTCCTCAGTCCTCTTGCCTATTGTAACCAGTTTTTTGACCTTAACTCCTTTAGAGTTATCTGGTAAGATACTACGTATATATTCTCCCAGCTTCTCTAACTCATGCGTGTCTAATTTTAAGATCAGGGTCGTTTGACTCCAGAAATTTGCTCACAATAATATTCGATAATATTAGATCCTTCTTCTCAGTCACGCCAGGGTGGTTCTCTCTCTTACAACCAGATGTTGGTAGTGCATTTTTTGACTCACAATGAGAGTCCACCAGTGACTTACTAACCGCCTGCGTACTGCCTACAGCTTTTTTCTTTTCATTTCTTTTTTTCCGTACTGTAGTCCACTTTTCATCCCTCAGGACACTGTGACTATTTGGAGCAGTGACGGTTTATCCAGATCTTCAGCTTCCACCAGGGGTGCATGGTTACCAATGTCAGTATCAGATGGTATTACCCCCGTCGTTAATGTTAACGGGGATTTCACTTTTCCGTCAGTCAGAGTCGGTCGTCTTAGGCGTCTCGTAACAGCACGTACTGCAATTACACATTCGTCACTGTCAGTGCTCGTGTTATCAACGCATGCGCCACCGTTCTTCTTACAGGCCAAAGCCAATAGGCTCATAGCCTCTTGTAGTATTAGCGTCTTATATGCACAGCAAAACATGAAAAGCCAGTGTGAGTTAGGCTTCGAACATCTTTTGTATGCGGTGGAACTTAAACAGGTGCACATCTTATGGAACCACTTTTTGCATTCATCACACTACATTCCTTCACAGGGAACAAACAGTTTGGTTGTCCACACTTGTGAGTACTACCAACCATTCTAGTCAGATTAAGGTTTAAAACACAGTATGATCACAGTATCAACACATTGTCAGTCAACGAGCAAAGGGTGCCACGAGACAAACTTTAGCAAGGTTTCGAACCTTAACCAAAGTACTTTGATTTAGACCAAGAATGCTTTTGATGCAATAATTACACAAAAGCGGGGATAATCATAACAAGTACAAAATCACTGTTCTTTTGAAACACCGACGACAGACTAATATTGTAAGATCCATTTGAATGTTTTGAGTGTTGATGAGAATCCCTCCATGTATATACTTGTGCTTTGTTCCTATTGATCCCCTTAGTTGTACATTGTTGTCTTTTGATTACATTTGAATTGTTAATACTTGTATTTTTGCTATAGTTTTTGTTTTTCTTACGCATTCACTAAGTTTGTGTTTTTTCCCGAACTGCATCTGTGTTGTTTCACTTGACACTTGTTCTTGGCGGTAGCCATATTGATTTGCTCCTCCTTTTGTGTGTTCTATCCAGTCAGGATAGAATAACGTTCATTTGTTGTGACTGGTAATTTTCCCTCATCTTTTATCAACTCCTTTATTTACTGTAATTTAGAATTAATTGATTGAACAATTATTGGTTGAATAGCCGGGTGGTAATATTTGTTTAGGTAACGATTTACATTTAAATTTATGATGAATTATAGAGCAGCTATTTACCCGACTACTTGTTTTGATTTTGACGGGCAAGGGCGCGTGTCTAACGTACCTGGACGGCTATTCATCTATCCAAACCGTAGTTTGGATTCTACAAATATGGACGCAGAAACGATACTGTAATCGAATACTTTAACTGAAATAAATTCAATTAAACTGAAAGCAGTAGTCTTGATACATAATAAATGATCAAAACAATAGAATTTACTCAGCGAGGAAAAATACCACTGTTCTTTTAATTAGCGTGCGTAGCTTGATACTACTAATGAAATCCTGCGAATAATAAGCTGAATTTTCTATACAACCCTCCATGACTGAGCAAAAAAAGAATGCGATGAATCATACTGTTCATCCACCTCTCCGAAATATCATCAATGTCTTATACTTTAATAGACTGAACTGGCTGAACAAATGAAGTAAGACATTCACCTTAATTAGGGCTGTTTGCTGTGTTTTTAATTTCTTTTCTCTAGCAATCGACTTCTAACTGCAGGCTTTACCTTCTATAAACATGAATCACTTCTTTTCGGTTTCACATTTTCTATAACCTTAGTAAAATTCTATATCGCACGCTTGATTTTATATTAAAACTCATCGTAGATTATGTGCACGCATCTCTTCTGTCTTATTCTTCATCAACTAGATGGTTTATGAAGACCATCCGAGTGAATCGTTTGGAGGAGCTTGTTGCCAATACAGTCAGATTTCATCCTATTTATTCCTCCTTATCTTTAGTTAAACTTTCTATATCAGATAGAGAAATTTCGATACTTGAAGTAGAATGATGTGAGATGTCCCCGAAAACAAAAAGGTGTCGATCAAATAAATTATTCAATTCAATGCCTAATCCTAAACGTCGATGGACTGGTAAATGTTACTGCATACAACGAGACACCTTAGCTATTTGAATTCTGGTCTATGTTATATTATGGTCTACTCGGATATTAGTACTACTCTTATAATAAACTTTATTCTTAAATTGTAGACTTTTCATGATGTAACTGAGTAATCTATATATGAAAGTCACATCATTTTCTACATTGAATCATCGTATTGTAACAGTCATCAATATATGATGAAGAACATATTTGGGCTGGATATAGAACAATTTATTTAAAATGGATAACAATCATTTTGCATCAGTATGACCACGTCTACAATGCCAAGCCATGCCGTCCGACCGATCGGTTTCGAATGAATGTTACCGCGTCCGCTATTATTGACCTTTTCTTAGTGTTACATGTTGAAAGTTTATTTTCCAAGTTATCTCATGACCAGCTTTGATGATTGTGGCCAGGATCCAATACAACTACAATCCAATCTTGACTTATGTGTTGGATACATCTTCAGCGCAAACGATGTAGTTACAGACAAACCCCCTTTTATAAGCTTTTTCAATCGCTCTAACAGATTCAAACCTGTCGATGCAGCTTAACTTTGCAGGATGATTGACAAATCACGTCATGAGTTCTTATAAACAACCCTCGAATTTTAGCCGAAACTGGTCAGAACATGTGGAAACATTACACACAAATAAATATTGTTTATTCTTACCCAAAAATATCATGCCAACGTTTGGGATACATCCCTCGATCTATTCGTTGAAGTGTTCTACCAGCCATCAAGTCTATTGCGTGATGCTGCCTACTTCGAATGAATAAAAGCAGTGAGGAGAAGGCGTGCAAGGTAAATAGACGTAACAAAAGTTCTTTCCGTTTTTTATCAACATTGGATCATGTTCATTTTAATCTGGCATGGATCCTACTTAAACCGAATAGCTTATCTTTCTCTTGTTTCACATGACAATTTGAAGCAAAATCTGTCAATTAAATCGCCTATAAAACTATTGTACACTCCATTTTAACACGGCGGCCTACAAATTTCGTTATCCTATCGACCATTACAACAGGTCGTGATTTCAGTCCAAAATCTGATCATTACACTGTCTTAGAATTGGAGCTCTTCTGAATGACCTTCCGCCACCCGCAGAACTGTGGAGATATGCCTGGCAAGCTCATTTTGTAAATAGTTTTTCATGTTATTTGTATTTATTTTGTCAATTTCTCACTGCGTGTACATTTATCATTAAATGATTGTACGTGTTGTTTAAGTGTATGACCTTGAA